ATATTTTATGTTTGTTGAGATAAATTTTGAAAAGAAAGAAGAGAAAAATGAGCAATTCAAATTGTAATTTCTATTTAAAGTAAAATTTTAAACTACTAAACAATTAACCTTTCAACATCAAACGTCTTCAGTTCAATAACCGCTTCAGCAGCTTTTTCATTAAAATAGATAACATTGGATTCGTATTGTTCGGTAACATTGCTGAGGAAACCAAATGATTCATCACTGCTGCACAGTTCACTTACCAAAAAATATACCGTATGCGGGAAATTTACGCTAATCTAAAAAATTTTGTAATTTTTATGATTAAATCTTTTTATCTCAAAAAAAGAAATAGAATTGTATGAAAACTTTAAGAATTTTTTGCAAATTTATCAGGTATCAGATAAATTAATTTTCAAAAATATATTTTTTTTCAGAAAAAAAGATAAATTAGAGTGAGTATAAAAAAAATTAAATTTCAAATAAATACATTGTTATTTACAAGATATTATGATGGTAAAAGAAATTTCAAAAAAAAAGAAAAAAAACAAATGAGAAATTGTGGACGAACAAAATCATCAATTGAAACAATTACAGAGAGACGCGAAAATGTAAACAAACATTAATATTTCCAGTTCCTCCATCAAATAGACGTTCAATCGACCAATTATGATCACCGTAATCCACGTATTCTCTTGGCGTATTTTCTGGATAAAACAACTGAATACGCCAACCGCAACGGCTAAGTTTTGTAAGTACTGGACCGTAAGCTGCTGAGGCACCTGATAAAATTTTAATATAATACAAATGCTAATGCAAACTTCATATTTCGTTTTCATTATTTTAACAAATCTTAGTATAAAGTTCATATTTTTTTTATTTCACAAAAATTTCATGTGAATCCCATCAATGCAGTTCGAATTTTGCTTTGCTTTGTTAAATCTTAAATTCATTTAAAATTGAAAATTCCACTTTTTTTCTTTCTCGCAATTAAATTTTATTTATTTTTTTCTTCCAAGATTTTAATTGGTAATAATTTTTGGTTCTGCAAGAGAAATAAACTTCTAACATTCATTAACTTTACTAACAAATAAAAAATTGTTCGTTAAATGTTTGCTTAAAAAAAATTTTTTTTTTCAAATTGTTCTATAATAACAAAAGTAATTATTCAAAAAATTTTTAGGTACGTTTTTTTTTTCTTTTCAAAATAAACTTACCGGAGATAAGAGCAACAATACCCGGATCATAATCAACATGAAAACGATGTAATTTTTTGCAGATACCCCAAGATGATTCGTGTGATTCAATGTGATGTATGTCCACATTCTATATTGCATAATTTTTTTTTCAATCAGATATTTACTTGAATTATTGAAAATTCAAATATATTTATATTGAAATTAATCCACAAAATTATCGAAATATCAAAAAAAAGCTATGAATACGTGAAATTTTAAGATCAGTACTACTTATAACGTATACGTATCACATCTTATGTATAAATAACTTTGATTTATAGATTGATATCTCTGAACTGTTGAACTATTTCAATCTTTTTCAATCCATTCTCTTTCTCCCGACCCCCGCAATTTGATTCGTTTTTCCCCTCATCTCTACTGAATTTATAGGGAATAAAGAAATGTATCACATCATAAACTATGATATTTGTCAACATTTCTGATTATTATCTCCGTAACTGCCAAACTATATTATTCGTTAAATTTGGATGAATAAAAATTCATAAATTTTTACACTGATAAATCAAATTTTTTGCCATATTTTAAGTATATTTGTAAATCTATTTCTCAAAATTATACATCAAGTTCATTTTATTATCAAGACAGGAATAAACATTTATTTAATTATATTTAATTGCGATTACATTTTTTCTTTTCTACTAAATCACAACGTGTTAGATGGAAATGAAATTTGGTGCAACAAGTATCATTGTAATTATCAAAAAGAAATTAACTTCGCCAAGCAAATTATTTTCAATTCCAATAATAATTAAATTTTCATGTGATAAATTTTTGTTTGATGGTAAAATAAAGAAAAAAGTCTATTTCTATTACAATAATAATTTTAAGGATTCATTTTTCACATACTGGAAATGGTGTCAAAAAGAAAATTATATTCTAGTAACTGAATTTCAAGATAATCCAAGAAGTGTTTCACGAATAAAAAAAACGAACCAAAGATTTTGCTAATTCACGAGTTACGGCAAGTGGCGTGAAACGAGCATCACAATAGACAAGAAAAGCGCATTCACGCGGATAATGTTCGTCCAGATTTTCCAC